CAATTTAGGCCTTCTCTAACATGCCAATGAAAAATCCTCCCAAACTCTGCCCACTGTCATGTTCCAAAGCTACTCCCACATTTTTAGGTATTTATTATGGCAGCGGCCCACTTCTAACTTTCAACATCTTTACTAGTTACCTCTTCCTGTGTAACAAATTTCCCCAAAAGTTGGCAGCTTTGAAAACAACAAACATTTATTATTTTACAGTTTGGATGGGTCAGGAACCTGGGAGCAGCTTAACTGGATCCTCTGCCTCGATTCTTCATAAAGTTGTAGTTAAGATATCAGCTAGAGTTGTGGGCTCATTTGAAGGTTCAATCAAGGGAGAATTTGCTTCTTAGTTCGCTTGCGTGGTTGGCAGAATTCAGTTCAGATCCTGTTGGGTGGAGATCTCTTTGAGTTCCTTGTTATTGGGCCTCTTTCATAGGGTAGTTGGCAATATGTCTAGGTGGCTTCCATCAAAGCAAAAGTTGTAGTTAAGATATCAGCTAGAGTTGTGGGCTCATTTGAAGGTTCAATCAAGGGAGAATTTGCTTCTTAGTTCACTTGCGTGGTTGGCAGAATTCAGTTCAGATCCTGTTGGGTGGAGATCTCTTTGAGTTCCTTGTTATTGGGCCTCTTTCATAGGGTAGTTGACAATATGTCTAGGTGGCTTCCATCAAGAGAGCTAACAAGACAGAGGCCAGAATCTTTTTGTAAACTAACTTTGGAAATAATATCCCATCACTGTTGCCCTATTTCCTTTGTTAAAAGCAAATCATTAGGTCCAGCTTACATGTGAGGGGATGAAATTATACAAGGACTGGGAGACAGGGATCATTGGAATCCACATTAGCAGCTGTAGGATCTTTGTCCACTGCATGTGATGGCAAATCTGCATTAACTGGGTTTGCAAATTAGAAGAGTGTCTAGAACACATTAATGAAATATTTACATGACACATTTAACAGTTCATTTATAACCTTATAACTTACTGAGACCTGAAAATGTTATGAGCTTAATACAAACCAAGTTTTTTTCTACACAAATATACCCCTTGTTCATATACTCATGTGAAGTATACTGGAATATAAGACTTTTAGAGAGATTTTTGCAATCAAAGCACATCTGACTATTAAAAAAAAGGAATCACATGCCTTTTTGCTTTTTCTCACATACTGATACATGTCAGTATTTCCAAGATGCATGAAATGAATTAATGAGTACACTTACCCTAGATTAATTTTGAGATAAAATTATTCCTTTACTTTTTAGAGTAGTTTTGGAAATATGCTACAAGTATAATATTGCTTACACTTTCAGTATAGTAAATGTAAGTGGTATGGCTCCAGAGTAATTATACATTCAAACACACATATGAAGAAAAATTCTTCTGTTTTTGGTATTGGAGGAGGAGAGCAGGGAAGAATGGTTACAATGTCCAGTATTGTTTTGGGAAAATATATTGTCATTGGAAAATGAAAACCTTTGAAGCTTTATTCTTTGTTAGTCATATTTCAGTGTATTCATTATTCCTGCCCAAACCTCTTTAACTCTTGGCACAAAAACCACTTCAATCTAACATATAGACATGGCATACTGGCCTGAAAATAATAGTAATCACTTTTTTTCCCCATAGACTATTTTAATATTACTTGGTTCAAAACTTGGCTTTGTGTGGTCTAATAAATACAGTGATATTTAGAGGAGGAAAAAAATGGCATAGATGATAGAGGCTCTGTTCATCCCTCTGCTGATCAAATCAAAGTTGTGATGAAAACAAGGAGCAGCAGCAAAGAAAAATTGCCTGGGATCTAGATGAATAAACCATACAACTAGGGAGAAAGCCAAGAAAGCACTCTGCAACAGCAGAAGGTAAGACGGGGTGAGGACACGGGGTGACCCGGTCCCAAGCAGCTGAGTGAGACGGAGGCTGCAGCAGCAGCAGCAGCAGCAGCAGCAGAAGAAGCCTCTTAAAGGGTCCACATCCGTAACTGGATTTTCGCGGTGACGGACCTGCTTGCTCTGAGCACTAGTGCCCATTTGGCTGCGTGCAGAAGGCATGAGGGATGTACAGGGAGATACTGTCGGAGTGAGAGTCAAGGTGAGACTTGCTTGGTACAGAAATGCTGGTGGTGTATCCATTGTTCCTTGTTGAGCCCTCCCCACTACCAGTGCGTGGACACAGTGCAGCCATAGCTGTGATGTCATCAAACTGGATAACAGAGGTCACTCTGACCAGGAGATTCCCTGAAACCCTGCCTCCCTCATCCCGGGCCCCACCCAAGCCATATCCAGGTCTATCTTCCGCAACTCAGGTGCTCCTTGCTGAGCAGCACCTAGACTCACACTGAAGGCAGCTGGCCTTGGTTTCTGGTATGGCCATTTGAGGCAACTATAAGCACAGCATCTGTAGATTGCTTGCTGAATCTTGACAGGTGGCCCCAGAGGGGTAGAGGCTTGGGCTAAATTTGCCCTGCAGCTGAACCCCTCTCAGGACTGTGCCACTGGACACCTACTTCACAAATCCACACTAATAAGACCAGGAGACTTAGGAGCTTTGCTTAGTACATAGAAACAGACACAGAAAGGCAGCCAAAATGGGAAGACCAAGAAAAAAAATAGAACAGAGATCAAGGAGAAATGGAGCTAAGTAATCTAACAGATGCAGAGTTCAAACCACTGGTAATA